TGGATATTCACTTTTTGAAATATGGCAGCCCTATTTAACTTGAGTGCATTTCGCTTTATGAGCTTGGCAAAGAAAAATACAGTATAAATAAATAAAAAGGGGTGGGTGTCTGGGTGGGGGGAAAGACTCTGGAGATCCCACCAGCTATTGAACCCAACGTTTTTTGACTATACAGAATTTTGGCTTGCATTGTCCCGTAACATAAATCTGTGTAATTCAAGTGTCAACTTCAGAGGAGCCTCCACACTATGGCTTGAAGGACTGATGGGGACAATATTCTTCCTCTGCCCCACATGTATATTTGCTGACTCAAACTACGGCTGGTGCTAAACTACTAACTATGTTTAGTGCGAGTCCTCCAAGCCATAGTTTCTTCACATTCTGATTTGGAGGGGCAACCACACTATCCATACCTTGCCAGTTCGGGCATCATGGTCAACTATGGCTGGTCTTAAAACAAAAAACAGCATCCTGGAGACACAAGGGGGGGAAGGTTCATGGAAGTCCACAGTTTGATGTGCATTACCTAAACTATGGTTTGGAGGATCATCTGCCGAAGTGTTGATGTTATCACCAAATTCACCCAACCCAACGGAATTAACTCAACCACACTTATAGGTAGAGCTCACACTTTGCATGCAAGATATTCCAGGGGAAACTGGCAATCCTAAAACCTTTGAAGCCTCAAGACCTTTCAGATCCCCAAGCAGGCCAAGAATCTAATTCCACAGAAGGCAGCTGTTCGTTAGGCAGTTCCTTAAGGCCTTGCCGTCTATTCTCGCTCAGGGTCCCTGCAGAAAAGCTATTGAACCTATAAGATCATCTACCTACTACGGCATTCACTTGACCAGAAGCTAAGAAACCCTGGGTTCTTCTTGGTCAAGTGGTTCAAAAATTCCCTTCTCCATCACCACCTGGAAGCTGCAACAGTGGTGGGCTTGTTCTGCATCTCTAATCTCCAATAGCAAGACACGGTTTAGGAATTTCTCTTTTGCCACCTTCCAGCAATCTGTGAAGAGGACACCAAAAGGCAACAGGAGATGCTAAAACCTAGCATCAGTGCCGCCACCCAAAAAAAAGCACTCTTTCCTCAACAGAAATCTGTATTAGGTTAATACCTCCCATTGAACTGACCCTTCCCCTGGGTACCTAACAAAATTCTGGCCTTAAAATTCCAACACAATGTGCAGTTCTGTGAGTAACATACAGATACAGTTTAAAACCTTCTCTGAATATCTTCAAACTCCTCTCATACTCATCTTAAGACTTTTAGCAGAATCAGACAAGGATGGATGGTTTGAACACCCGCCGCACCCCTTCCTCCCCTTAAATAATTATTTTTAACGTTTGCCAGATGAAGAGTTCTGGGGAACTCAAAGAGGTCACACACTATTTTGAAATATTTCGGCTGTCCTGATGAAGGTACTGCCCTAATGTGGCTTTTGCATTGTGATTATTTTTCTTCTGATGCCTACTTTAACTTTAGCTTCAAACCAGACTTCTCTGGGATTCGGGGAGAAGACTCTTACTTGGCCGCCTCCCATGCCTTAAGCAAGAGAACGATGCATTGTGGTCCCTACCCCTCTGTAGAAACTGAAATCAGCTCACTCCTGCTACTTTCATGCTGTGTTACGCAAAACGCAGGCGTGCTGGTTTATTCCACCGGACCCACACAATCGGCGCTAGACAGCTTAGATCAAAACGAAGAAGGCAGCTTCCGTCCGCACCAAACTCAACCATGACACTTTCAGCAGCACCCAGCGCAACGACCCACATGTGGGGCACACCACCACACATGCAAAAGATCAAAGGCACCAATTCAGGGGCAGGACCCTCCACCTGGCAGGGTCCACCGCTGGCGGGGCAGGACCAAACCACAGCCTCACATCGTCTGCTATTGGTCAGGGGACAAACACAGCCACACGCAGGACTCAGCCGGAGTCGCCTGTCCACGCAGCCATAATTCTCACGCCCAACTCCATTTGTAGAAAAGACCGCCAGCCAAGGTCACCATCCAAGGGTTAATGCAAACGGTATTGCACGCACAGCAGGGGGTGGGGGAGGGAATTAATAATTTCCCCGCCTTGCAGTAGGTTAGCAAGCAGCTGGCAGCATCCGAAGAGCAAGCAGCCCCGGAAGCTATCCGACCGCATACCAGTCCTCCAGCTCTGGATGCTCTGAGCCAGTGCTGCTGCATCCCGGTTGCGCTCCACCCAAATGCCAATCTTCACCCCCCCGGCCCCCAACCCCACCCACTGCACCAGTGGGGGCCCCAGCAGAGCATCCCAATCATTCCACAACACCCAGCTGGGTGCAGATGCACCCACAGCTGCAACCGCCAGTTCCAAACCTCAGCCTGCATCTCTCCCCGCACCCAATTCAAAGGGGGGGGGGGTGGCTAGGAAGAGAACCACGCAGCATTTCCACCACCCACCCAGCTCCGCTTCACGGCTTGAGACGGCTCGACACCACCACCCCCATCCTTCAGTATGCCTCGTGTTGATGTAAATAAGCACCCAAGCCATTTCCACCCACGAAGCCCCCCCCCAAGTGAGCTCGGCCAAACCTGCAGTCCTCCATGCTTTTGCAACATGCTCCGTGCTGGAGGAGGCAATCGCCCACCAAACACGCCCCTTAGCCCGGTTCACTTGGCTCGCCTCCAACTTAAAGAGCCCATCCCTCCAATAAAAAAGAATAAAACCCTCCCCCCCACACACAAGCCACATTCTGCACCAACGGCTCCAACGGTTTGCCCCCCAATCCATGCTAACTGTACCCCTATGCGCGAGAGGCATGGACACAGCTCCGGAAGACGCAGGGGCAAAATAATATACAATAAATGCGATTCAGGGTGGGAAGAGATTTCGATCTCGTGTGCATGCACGCACACACACGCCAGTTCTGGATAAGGAAGGGGGAGGGCGGTGACACCCCCCCCAGCAGAGAGGAATGGGGCTGCCTGAAACCCAGAGGCACAGGGCAGGTTTGGGGAAACTGGCGAGGTGGCGAGAGCAAAATATTCACGACCAAAATTTCAGCAGGAGGAAAGGCAGAAAGCCACCTGATTGCAGAGGGAAGGGCATTGGCAGGTGCCATGCGGGGGGGGGGGACCCAAACCCCACCACCACCACATGGGGGCAGAAGCAGGACCCCCAAGAAACAGCTGTGTGAGGTCCTGTCCGGAATGGCATATTCCTCCCCCAGGAGTGGAAAGGCTCCAGGGCCGATGGATGGCACTGGTCCCTTCAACCAATCCCTGCAATGGGAGGAGGTTGCGGGGGGGGGGGTCGGATCAGTTTGAAGGGGCAACTCAGGCTCCTTCCTCAGTAAGGTCCCATCCCTGCACAGCTATTGGGGGGGGGGACTGGAGAAATTTGGGTGGGTGGGTGGGAGTCTCTAAAAAGAGCCACAGGATCAGCGGTGGGGGAGCACCTTCAGGGCAGGGTCCTAAAAAGGTAGAAATGTGTCAAGGTGAGGGGGGGCGTCCCTGGAGCAGCCCAGGCTTACTGGGGAGGAGGAATGGGGAAGGGGGGGCTGTCCCAGGCTGGAGAGGGAAAGGTCTCCCAGGAAGTAGAGGAAGGCGACACACAGGGCCTTCCAGGGCTGCCCCCCCCCACCCTCAGAAAAGAGGGCGATCTGCCCTAGCACTTTGTAAGGAGGGGAGAATATGGGGTGGGGGTAACCCTCTGAGCGCACTGAATGTACCAAGGTGCCCTCCCTATAGCAGGTGGGGCATACTGCTACTGTGGGGGTGTTCACAAGGGGGGGGGCAGTCCCTATGGAGACGAGCTCTCCAGCAAGGAAGGTGCATTGGGGAAAACAGGGAGGGGTGCAGGATCTATGGGGTGTGGGTCTTCCTATATTGAGGAAGGGGGTATGAATGCCAACCCCCTCCAGCAAGGGAAAAGAAAGACAGACGGATTGTAAGGAGACAGGAGTGTTGCAGCGGGGGGGGGGGTGTCGATAGATGAAGGGGGGAGCTGCAGAAAATATGGGGTAGCCCCAAATGGATGAAATGGGCAAGGGTCAGACTGAGCAAAAGGGGTCTGAAAGTGGATTGAGGGGAAGGCGGGAGAGAGAAAGTGCCCCTTTCTCTGTATTTTCTGAAGGGAAAAATTAAGGGGCTTCTGCAAGGAGATGGGTGGGGTTGATTCGACCAGGTGGGGTATTTTTTTTGGGGGGGGGGACTACGATGACGACTAAAGTATAAATGGAGCTGGCTTGGCCGAAGGAGGAAATAAAAATCAAGAGGATTCAGGAGGGGAAGAGGGGTTTTTTGGGGGGGGGAGAAGAAACACTACTGATGCGAGAATCTCCACCTGGGGTGGAGGTGGTGGGGCAGATTTTGGGGAGGGGGCTTGCCGGGAGGTGTGGCGCTGCAAAGCGGCTGATTTGGGTGGGGAGAACCCCCCCCCCGCAAAAAAAAAACCCCAGGAGGGCAGATTTGGGGGAGGGGGACCTGGAATGGGGTGGGGGGGGCTGTGATGCAGTAGTGGTGAGGGAAGGGTTTTGGGGGGGGTTTGGCTGTGGCGGGCGGGTCTCCTCCTCACCCCCAGTGGGTTCGGGGCTCTGGGGGTCCACAGTTCGTGCTGTGGGGCAGGAGGGGGGTCGTGCATGGGGAGGGGGGTCTCTTCCTGCCTCCCCACCCCTGTGAGTTGCTGGGGGGCTGCTGTGAGGGGGGGTCTCTCCTCTTCCTCCTCTCCCCCCCCCAAGGATTTGGGGGTCGTGCATGGGGAGAGGGGTGTCTTCCTGCCTCCCCACCCCTGTGAGTTGCTGGGGGTTTAGCTGTGAGGGGGGGTCTCTCCTCTTCCTCCTCTCCCCCCTCCAAGGATTTGGGGGTCGTGCATGGGGAGGGGGGTCTCTTCCTGCCTCCCCACCCCTGTGAGTTGCGGGGGGCTGCTGCTGTGAGGGGGGTCTTTTCCTCCTCCCCCCTCCCCCCCAAGGATTTGGGGGTCTCGCGTGGGGGGTCGCGCGTGGGGGGGTCCCCCGCCCCCTCCTACCTCTCCGCCATCTTCTCCCCCGAGCCGGCGGGGTCGTCACCGGGCGCGGCGAGGGGCGGCGGCGGCCCCCGCCCGGCAGCCCATGGCCCCGGCAGCGCTGCGGCTCCTCGCCCGCCGCCGCCTCCTCCTGGCCGCTGACGGAGCGAGCGACGGAGCGACGGACGGACCGACGGACGGGCTGCCAGCGCCGGCCAGGAGGAGACGATGCCGCCGCCGCCGCCGCCGCGTCCCGCCGTCACCACCGACAACGGCCCTCGGCCAATGGTGCTCGCCGACGGGCGGGGCCAAGGAGTCCTCGGCTCCGCCCAGCCCGCCAGCCCCGCCCTCCGCCTCAAGGGTTCACGGGAAATGTAGTTTCTGGGGCTGTCTCACCTGAGGTGGCGGCGGCCATGTTTGGGCCTACGGGAGGAGGCCTCTCAAGGGCATCCAGTCGGCCCTTGGCAACGTGTCAGATAAAATGTCCCCGCTTAAAAAAAATAAAAATAAAACGCTGTAATGAAATGACTCTCTCTTTTCAGCCAATGGAAATAATAATAATAATAATAATAATCCAAACTCTTCTTCTTCTTCTTGGCGATACCTCGTAGCCAAGTAATAATAATAATAATAATAATAATAATAATAATAATAATAATAATAATAATTTATTATTTGTACCCCGCCCATCTGGCTGGGTTTCCCCAGCCACTCTGGGCGGCTTCCATAGAAACCAAAAATACACTAAAATATCACACATTAAAAACTTCCCAGAACACGGCTGCCTTCAGATGTCTTCTGAATGTCAGGTAGTTTTTATCGCTTTGACATCTGATGGGAGGGCGTTCCACAAGGTGGGTGCCACCACCGAGAAGGCCCTCTGCCTGGTTCCCTGTAGCTTGGCTTCTCGCAGTGAGGGAACCGCCAGAAGGCCCTTGGAGCTGGACCTCAGTGTCCGGGCAGAACGATAGGGGTGGAGACGCTCCTTCAGATATACTGGTCCGAGGCTGTTTAGGGCTTTAAAGGTCAACACCAGCACTTTGAATTGTGCTCGGAAACGTACTGGGAGCCAATGTAGGTCTTTCAAGACCGGTGTTATGTGGTCCCTGCGGCCGCTCCCAGTCACCAGTCTAGCTGCTGCATTCTGGATTAATTGCAGTTTCCGGGTCACCTTCAAAGGTAGCCCCATGTAGAGCGCATTGCAGTAGTCCAAGTGAGATAACCAGAGCATGCACCACTCCGGCGAGACAGTCTGCGGGCCGGTAGGGTCTCAGCCTGCGTACCAGATGGAGCTGGTAGACATCTGCTCTGGATACAGAACTGACCTGCGCCTCCATGGACAGCTGTGAGTCCAAAATGACTCCCAGGCTGCGCACCTGGTCCTTCAGGGGAAAGGGAATAAGGCAGTGAGAAGGGGGGGGAGCACTCTGCACATGTTCAAGGGTGCCATGTCATAGAATCAAAGACTTGGGAGGGACCCTGAGGATCATCTAATCCAACCACCTCCAATACAGGAATATGCAGCTGTCCCATATGGGGACTGAACCTGCGACCTTGGACTTATCAGTACCACATTCTCAGACTTTTCAAGTGTCCCTATTTTCCTGGGACGTCCCTGATTTAGAGAAGTCGTCCCGGTTTCTGTTTTGATCCAGTTTTACCATACAGTGGTACCTCGGTTTCCCCAGCCACTCTGGGCAGCTCCCAGCATATATAAATACAGTGGTACCTCGGGTTACTGACGCTTCAGGTTACGCATACCGCGCCAAACCCAGAAGTACCGGAACGGGTTACTTCCAAGTTTCGGTGCTCGCGCATGCACAGAAGTGCTAAATTGCACTTTGCGCATGCGCAGAAGCGCCGAATCACGACACTGCGGGTTGCGAACGTGCCTCCCGCACTGATCACATTCGCAACCCGAGGTTCCACTGTATTTATATATGCTGGGAGCTGCCCAGAGTGGCTGGGGAAACCCAGTCAGATGGGTAGGATACAAATTTATTATTATTATTATTATTAATCTCCTGTGGTAGTGAGTTCCACAGTTTATCTATGTGCTGTGTGAAGAATTACTTTCTTTTATCCGTCCTGAATCTTCCAACATTCACAGACCCTCCAAGTGCCCCTATTTTCCAGGGACACTCCATGCATTTACAGAAGCCGTCCTGGTTTCTGATTTGATCCCAAAATGTCCCGTTTTTCCTTAGTATGGCCCTATATTCACCGGATCAACATTGCAGGGTATGCAATCAGCTTCTCAATGCATGCTCCTGTGTTCTAGTGCTTTGAGAGATGCATTTTTTTCTCTATCCACATTCTCCACCCCAGGTGTCATTTTACAAACTATCCAGGGCTTTTTTCCAGTACAGTACGAACTCCCTGGACCTGAGATCCGTCATGTCTCAGGTGGGCGCCATCACCGTTATAGGAGAGCAAGCAAGGTGTTTGTGATGAATTTTTGCACCTCTTTTTCTGGAAAAATAGCACTGCTTCTGTCATGACTCCTCGTACCCTCCTTTTCCCAGAGGCATGAGGGAAGCGCATAGGCGCCACTACTGTGTGGCCTGGTTTGTGGGACTTGTTATTTCCCTGCAAATGTATGGAGCCTCCGCTGTCTCCTAACCTTCACCGCCCCCCAGTTTTGCACCTTCACAGTCTCCTGACATGGATGCTGAAGGTTGCAAACAGCCATGTTTATTTATTTTTATATATATATGTGTGTGTGTGTGTGTGTGCACATAGATATAAAGTTGTTGAAATCGGCTGAAAGCCTTCCTGCGGCATTTCTGTTCCCAAATCTTCTGTGCTTTGTGCAGGCAGATTTCCCTCTGAAAACAGCCTCTTGAAGTATTTATAATATCTTATTTATGCAGAAGTCTTGCTAGCCGCTTTTCCAATTAAAAAAACAGAGAGAGAGAAACAGATAGATTCCTCAAGGTGACGTACAGAAGATACATTATCTCAGTTTTATACAAATAATATTTTCTCGCCCAAACACTGTTTGTGGGCCTGTGCTGCCTTTCCTCAGGTGCCTTCAGAGAAGGAATTATGAGTCGCTCTCATCTTTCTCTAACCTGTGAGGAAGAAATAAGGCGTCCTTCATAAATAGGATATGCAGAAATGGCACCGCGACCAAAGGCTGAAGATTATGGGACCCACAAGCACCGAAAAGGAGAATATGGTGTAGACAGGCAAAACTAAACTCTGTTTTTTTATTATGCATTTTGTGTTTTTACCTTGTGTTTTTTTAATGCTGCAAACCACACAGAGATCTACAGATGAAGGACGGTGTGTACACATTTAAAAAATAAACAGACGAGAGGCAGAGGCCACGATGACGATGCTTGGATGCTGCGAGATATCCAAAGGGGAGCACTCAGCCTATAGGTTTTACACTCTTTGGCTTGGAGTTGAATGCTTTATCAGGGGTCAGCAAACTTTTTCAGCAGGGGGCCGGTCCACTGTCCCTCAGACCTTGTGGGGGGCCGGACTATATTTTTTGGGGGGGGAATATGAACGAATTTCTATGCCCCACAAATAATCCAGAGATGCATTTTAAATAAAAGGACACATTCTACTCATGTAAAAACACGCTGATTCCCGGACCGTCCACGGGCCGGATTGAGAAGGTGATTGGGGCAGATCCGGCCCCCGGGCCTTAGTTTGCCTAAAGGTAAAGGTAATGAGACCCCTGACCATTAGGTCCAGTCGTGGCCGACTCTGGGGCTGCAGCGCTCATCTCGCTTTATTGGCCAAGGGAGCCGGCGTACAGCTTCCGGGTCAGGTGGTCAGCATGACTAAGCCGCTTCTGGCGAACCAGAGCAGCGCACGGAAACACCGTTTACCTTCCCACCAGAGTGGTACCTATTTATCTACTTGCACTTTGAGGTGCTTTCGGACTGCTAGGTTGGCAGGAGCAGGGACCGAGCAACAGGAGCTCACCCCGTCGCGGGGATTCGAACCGCCGACCTTCTGATCGGCAAGTCCTAGGCTCTGTGGTTTAACTCACAGCGCCACCCACGTCCCCAATTTGCCCACCCATGCTTTATTTGGTCCTGCCACCTACCCAGAGAGAAGGCCCTGTCCTTCCTCCTCAAAAGGTGACCGAACCTTTATTCAGCAACTAAAAAGGGGCGAGGAGGAGACACGCTAAGCAAGCCCCCCCTAGCTAGCCCCCCCCCATGGAAGAGCCTGTTTCCATAGCAACAGTGACACCCCGGTGTCTGTAGGCAAAAAGCGATGCTGGCATCTCACATTAGTCACAGATCTGCATCAGAGCTACCGGAGGGCAAGTCTGGGGGATGCAGCGAAATCCAGTCAGGCCCTTGCTTAAAATGCATCTAAAAGTAGAAGGAAGGAGCAACAAGCACCCTTAAGGGAGGAAAGCGGGTCTCGCTGAAATCAGTGGGGCCACCTACTTCCGAGTAAACATCCCTCCGGAAGCCTCTCTGAGTGGGTAATGATAAGGTGCCATGCCAGGCGCGGAAAGCCAGGCTCTGTCTGCAAACGAAGGAGGCGAGAAAAACACTGAGCAGGGTGGGGACTGAATCATGATGTCGGAAGCAGAGATTGCGTTTTTCACCTTCGGGTGCAAACACGCAAGATCTCTGGAGCTTGAGTACTCCCAAGAGATGGTTTGTCCCACCTCTGCATGAAAACCCCCAGCCAGGGGGAGCCCACCACTTCTCCAGACAACGGCAGACCCCCAAGTGGGGGTACAGTCCCAGATTTACAGAAGCCAGCTGAGTTTCTGATTTGATCCCGAAATGTCCCGCTTTTCCTTAGGATGTCCCTATTTTCATTGGAGAAATGTTGGAGGGTATGGAGTTACGCAACCCCCCCAAGCTAAGGATATAAGTACAGTGGTACCTCTGGATGCAAACAGGATCCGTCCCAGAGCCCCGTTCACATCCTAAGTAGAACGTAACATGCAACTGTGTGACTGCGCGGGTCACATTTCGCTGCTTCCGCGCATGCGCACAATGTCATTTTGAGTGTCTGTGCATGCGCGAGCAGTGAAACCCGGAAGTAATGTGTTCCGTTACTTCTGGGTCGCCGTGGAGCATAACCTGAAACGCTCAACCTGAAGCATATTTAGCCCCAGATATGACTGTAACTCTACAACCTTTAGAAGACATCTGAAGGCAGCCCTGTATAGGGAAGTTTTTTCATGTTTAATGTCGTACTCTAGCTGCGGTCATACCTCTTGTTACGTTTGCTTCATGATATGTTTTTTCAGG